CTCCAGTGATGGATGCATGTGTATTTACAATTGTTATATATATTTGCTGAACTGATTCCCTTATCATTATATAATGACATTATTTGTCTTTCTTTTTTCTTTTTTAACTTAGTATCTATTTTATCTGATATAAACATAGTTACTTCTGCTCACTTTTGCTTTCTATTTTTGTGGAATATCTTTTTTTATCCCTTTACTTTTAGATGGTGTGTGTTTTTACAGGTGATATTGTTTCTTATAATCTTCATATAGTTAGGTGTTTTAAAAAATCCATTCAACCAGCCCTTATCTTTTACTTGGGAAATTGAAACCATTTATATTTGAGGTTGATATTGATAGATGAGGACTTACTCCTGTTATTTTGTTAATTGTTTTCTGGTTGTTTTATATACCCTTTGTTCCTTTCTTCCTTTTATTATTTTTGTGGTCTAGTGGTTTTCTGTAATAGTAATATGTTATCCCATTCCCTTTGTATTTGTTTATCTGCTCTACCAGTGAGTTACATATGAGTATTATTTTCGTGAAACTATATGACTCAAAAGAAATTTTAAAAATGTATGTATTGTCCTTCACTTCCCAATGTAAGACTTTGTTAAATTTTTCTTGTAGGTGAGGTCTAGTGGTGAAGAATTTCCTCAGTTTCTGCTTCTCTGAGAAAGTCTTTGCTACTCCATATATGTGAAGGCTAGTTTTTCTGTGTATAGGGTTCTTGGGTGGCATTTTGTTTTTCTTTCGGCACTTTCAATATATCATCCCATTCTTTCCTGGCATGCAGGGCTCTGGTGGAAAATCTGCTGTTAGTCTGATGGAATATGCTTATATGTGATTTGATGTTTTCCTCTTGCTATGTTTAGCATTCCCTCTTTATCTTTGCCTTTTGAAAGTCTGACTGTAATGTGCCCAATTTATTTGGGGGCCCTTAGCTTTCTAAATCTGGATGTTCATATCTCTCACAAGTATTGGGAATTTTTTAGCTAATATTATTAATTTATTGTTATTATTATTTGAGACAAGGTCTCTCTCTGTTACCCAAGCTAGAGTACAGTGGCATGAACATGGTTCACTGCAACCTTGACCTCCTGGGCTCAAGTGATCCTTGGACTCCAAATGCTCCCTGTGCTGGGATCAGGATCTTTAAGGTCTGTGAGGCTCTTCTGTAGCTAGAATTGCTGGTGTCCATGGTGGAAATATGGTTACTGGCCATCTCACACTTTCTTTTTTCCCACAATGTGAGTCCCTCTTGGCTTGAAACTAATTGGTACCGGATGATTTGCTTTACTCTCTTTAAGGCCTTTCTAAGTTTTTATACCTTAGAGGGTCTTCATAACTTTTCTGCTGAATCCCCTTATTCTTCCTTAGATACTCTGTTTGATTTGTGGTTATCTACTGTTTGTTTTTGTCCCTTTTTGGGAAGGTGAGTGTTGGACACCTCTATTTAATCATCTTAATAACGTCTGTCTCAATTCAATTGTAACCACCATCCTATGATTAAGTTTGCCCTCAAGTAATTGTAGCACCAATATTAGTAGAATTAGTAGGAGGAGTAGGAGTAGGAGCAGCAGCAGCAATGATAATCAAATAGCTAACATTTGTAGAGCACTTACTAGCTATAACATGCTATAATAAGTTTTCTACCTATATTAATTAATTTAATTCTCACAACAATCCCAAGTGATAGGTTCTATCATTGTCCACATTTTATAATGAGGAATGTTAGACAGAGAGGTTGGGTAACTTACTTAAGTTCAAATAGCTAGTAATTGGAAAACCAGGATCTTCTAACCTAGGTTGGTGACTTTGGAGTTCATACTCTTAACCTTTAGGCCAGTCCATCTTTCGCAAGCACTTGTCATATATTTTTCAGCGTCCTTAGCAACTGGAAAGGAATGTGAAATTTCTAGAAGAAAACCATATTTTCTTTGGCTATCTCTGTTAAACACCGTTTTGAAGATACTGGTCATTTTGAAGACTTGGGCATAAGTAAAGAAAATGAAATCTGGAAGTTCTGTAGTCTTTCTTCTTTGGGAATAGGTCATATATTCTCAGTAAGTGTATAGATCTCAGTAGGAATTGGGGGCTAGAATACAGGAAGACAATTCGTTGTTGGCATTATGATATCATTTCCACATGTCATGGTTTAGCTTCAGCCACATCCAAATAAACTTCCAGCTGCTCAGTAATGAGTTCATCTAGTGTCTACATTCACAATCTGAGCTTCTCTATTTACCAGTTCTGTGATCTTAGGAAAGTTACGTAAAGTACTTTTGTCTAAGTTTCTTCATTGTAAAATGAGCAAACTTATTTCATTTAATTACTGGGAGAGTTAAATAGTATAATATACATTAAATATTGACTTCAGTGCTTGGCATTCTCTAGGTTCAACACCATTATGTAACGTATTAATAGATAAAGTGAAGGTTGTGGAAAATATGCTACAATTCCTCTCCTCAAAGTCAATTATGGCATTGACAAAACTTGCAAATACCATCACAATATATTATGATATCATTGCCTCCAAAAAGGAAAAGATAGTAAATTTTATAAAAGTTCTAAGGTAGATTAAATTCATGGTCTGGAGAAAAAGTGTGTAAGACTTCATGATCATGGTGAGAGTATGGGTTTGGAGTGGTGCTTAAAGCCAGGCAAAGGCAGATAAGCCAACTATATTGTGAGAAAGTATTGTGGGTCAAGGAAACAACATGAAAAACTAGAGAGAAAGGAACAAACTGATATATGTGCAGGACAGCAATGATACCACCTCATTAGAAAAAAAGATTTTCTTCAAGAATATTGGAAGATGAGACACGGTAGGTAAAGGATGGATCAGGCTTTTAGAATGCTGCGCAGAACCATACGTTTCTCCATACTTGAGCCTGCATGAGCAACTCTAATTGAGAAACCTTGAGCGATCGTGAAAGATTATTTCAAATATTACCTCTTGCAAGAGGACTTTTCTCTTCTTTCCTTTAGAAGGAGTTTCTTCCCTCCAATGAACTCAGTCTAGTTTATCTTTATTCCTCTTATCTGACATGACCACATGTGCTAGTTTGCCTGGGTCATTCTGAGCTATGCTTGTTATTCCAGTATAATTATTAGCAGAGCACCCTTTCATTCTCAAATATTTGTAATGATAAAATATAAGGTCAACTACTTATAACTCTTATCACTCCTCTTCTGTGTTCCAATTAGTTACCTATATTAAAATGTTCAGGGTAGCAGGGACCATATCTGCTCATCTTTGTATTCCCCATACAGACCATAATAATTATTTATTAAATGAATTTAAGGAGGAAGACTGAAAACTGTTGGAGTATAACTCTGAATTCTTAGACTTTTTAATGGTTCCGACATTGTCTGGTATTGCACCTGCACATACTAGGTACTTGATAGGTTTGTAAATTCGAGGAGACATGCACAAGGGCGTACTATTTCTGGAGTGTGCTGGAGTTGACATAGGCACAGACTAGAAGTGTGTCCTCATAAATCTTACCTTCTTTTCTCACTGCTGTGTGACCTGTGCACATTTCTCACTGATAGTTTGGGTTGGTTTTAAGGCCTAAAGAAAAATTTTATTTGGAAAATATCCCAGGTGTTAAATCAAGAATCAGATGTATGTGTGTGTCCTACCTTTATTGTGTGTGTATGATGAAAACAGTTCTATTTTTCAGAATTTAACCTTTCTCATTACTGGGCCCTTGTTAGGAAATTAAAATAAAAGGTAATCAAGACGGATAATATTTCAGCTGATTAGTACATTGGTTGAACAAGTCACTTACCAAACTATGTTGAATATTTTGTTTTGCTCCAATTAGTGTTATTTCCTTGAGATTTATAGCTGGAATTTCCATTCTTGTTTTACAACTTTTTTTTATTATTTGAATAGTCCTACTGGATTTTTCTTCTTAAAATTTGTGAGAAGTTATACTAGCAGATGTTAAAAGGAATAAAGGGCATAAACTTTGCCATATTGTTTGTTTATAGAATAGTTATTTGAATAACTCTACAAACTTACTGAGTATGAGAGGAAATTACGGTTATTATGAAACCTTAGTTTCTAACTTGGAATCTTTTCATCTGTTTTGTCAGGTCAGGTTGGGTTCCCTCTAGGCCTTATGGATTAAGGATGCCACAGCTATTTGAATATATATAACCATATCAGTGCATGGCAGGAAGCTACCCAGAGGTTAGATTCTGAACCTGTGACAGCGGGCTGTGTGGAGAATTAGAGTCACACTGCTGAAGGCCCTTAAACAGAGGCCTCAGAGTAAATCCTTTCCTATTCTCAGCACAATCCTCTGCTCACCAGCCTTTCCTGTGACCACTGATACTCCTTTGAAAATTTTGTTGGGAAATTCTCCTTTGCTAGGCTATATTCACTGGCCTTCCTCTGCAGTTTAAAGCCATGGAATCTCTCATATAAGTTATTTTTCCTCCTTTGTCTTTTTTTTTTTTTTTTTAACCTGAATGGAATGTTTCTCATTGTGGACATTTTTCAGCATTGTGGACATTGTAGGCTGGCTAGTTGTTTTGAGCTCTCCTGCACATTGTGCAATGGTTAGCAGCATTCCTGGCCTTTATTCCCTAGATTTCCGTATCACTTTCTGTTCTGAATCATGGCAACCCAAAATACCCTGTGACATATATGTTTGTAGGGTGAGGCAGTGCAAAATTCCCCCTATTGAGAAACATTACCTTGCGATCTGTGTGAAAAGCTTTTTAGAAAGTGGAAGAAACAATGGCCTTAGGGCAGCACTTAGCAATCCTGTGATGTGTGTAACTTGTGTGACTTCTCTGACACTGTTTCTTTACCTGCAATGTAGGGATAATAATATCTTTAGTTCAGAATTTAAATTTCAACAGAAACTTTCAGGCACATGGTAAGGTACTAACAAGTGGTAGTCACCGTGATTCTTACTTGGTGAATTCCAGCTAAGTTTCCCAATGCCAGTAATTCCAACTTATGAAAAGGTGTTTCTCTTTTTTTCTCACCCTGGAAACAGAGCATGATGAATGTGGCAGTGGCCAGCACAACTGTGATGAGAATGCCATCTGTACCAACACTGTCCAGGGACACAGCTGCACCTGCAAACCGGGTTACGTGGGGAACGGGACCATCTGCAAAGGTAGGCTTGCCACCTTAGGGGAGAGCTGTGAGCCCCCATTTTGCCTGGGCTCTCGGCACTCATGTATCGGAGTTTGCTGCTCCTGGTTTATCAACTAGCAAGGGTTCTGTGCATCAGAGAAAAAGAAAAATGCTTCAGGTTTAGCTTTTGAGTTGAAAGAAAAAGGTGTAGGTGTGGGTCAGGGTTGCAGTTACACAACTCAATGGCTCTGTTTAGCTTTGCCTCTTGGCCTGAGTTTGGGAGGGAAGCTTCAATTGTGGACACTGGCTCTTCTTTCCTGAGCTTTCCTCAGAGGGCAAGTAGTCCCTGTTTCTGTTCACACTTGAGATATCTGCTTGGGTAGGAAAGTTACAGTTGTAGCCTCTCTCACTGTCTGAGAGCAGTTTATCAATCCAGAAGCCAGTGCTCTGGCTTCCCTTAGCATTTAGAATAAATTAAAATTCTTCCTTCTGGGTTATGAGGGCATTCAGCATCTGGTCCCTGGCTTCTCACAGCTGACACCTCTCTTTCCTCTCACCCTCAATCCCTTTATCTCAGCCTACTGGGTCCCTGTTACTCCTTCAGCATTGCTGTTGTCTCAGCCTCAGTGCTCATGTCTTTCATGTCTATACTCAAATATCCCCTCATCACAGAAACGTTCTTTGACCACCCTATCTAAAACAGCAAGCTTAGTACCTCTTAGCCCGTACCATGCTTGGTTTTTTCCTTCACAAACACAACCTGACAGAACATTACACGTTTATGTGTTTGCTTGTCTCTGTGTTATCTGCCTCCCTACTAGGATGTAAGCTTCATGACAGTGAAGACTTGATCTTGTCCCCCTGCTGTCCCTGGTGTTTAGACTGGTCCCTTGCACACAATAGGTGCTTGTTTACTATGTGTTAACTCACCAAATCATCAAAGACGAAAGGCACAATCACAATGAAAAACATAGGCAACAGGAACAAGAAAATGAAAAACATCCTATGAGGTAGGTATTATTATCATCCTCATTTTAGAAGCAATAAGATTGAGACACAGAGAGGTTAAGTAACTTGCCCAAAGACAAGTAAACACATTATCAGTATTCCTCTGCAGGGATGAAATGCTAGTAATGAGTGAAAAATAATTTACAATGATTAACTCACCATATTTATGGACTGGATTGGGGAAGAGTTTAAAAACATTGGTTTTATTCTGTGTTGGTTAAGGTGAGGCAAGCAGAAAGCCTAATACATGACTGTGAGTGAAAATTGGTAAAACTCTTATTTTTTAACAGCAATTTGACTAAATTTATCAATACTCAAAGTAGGTATTCTATTGATTCCATCAATTTTACGTCTTGAAATTTATTCTAAAGAGCATAGGCTCATGAAGAGGGGAAAATTTACGTAGAGTGTTTCTTTGCAGCATTGTTTAGATTCACTGAAAACTGGAAACAACCAAAATATCCATCAGTCATGGAGTGATTACATTTATTTTGGCATATGCATTTTGTAGAGTAGAATGCAGTGGTTTAAAACTCTAAATGTTTGTATTTACACACATGCACACACACAGATGCATACATACACATGCACATTGCATTGAAAGATACCCAAGACATATTTTTGAGAAAAAAAGAAAAAGAAATAAAATCAAGTTCAGAAAAATATAGGATATAGTGTCATCAAATATGTAAGTTAATATTTATAAATATCTATATACATATTTACGTAAATGCATAAAGACTGGAAATGTGCAAACTAGTCATCTTATTACCTATGGGTGTGTGAAAGAAGAAAATTCACTTATTGCTGTGAATTCCATATTAGTTCATTTATTCCAGTGGTCTTTTATACATGAATATTTGTGTGTATTTTTAATAAAGTACCATGAAGTGAATAAACTAGTGCTCAGCTTTTTTAAAAGTCTGAGGATATTTCCAAAGGAAAACAAGGAAACAGAAACGTTAATATAATTCCATGGATTATCAAGCCCACTGCTGGTACCTGCATGCTGGTGCTATAAATCTGAGGAGCAACATAGGGATTTTAACGCACTTTTTCCAGAATTATGTTACCTCATAAAATAATATTAATTGCCCTTGTCCAGTGAGTTTGTATTTGCCAAGTTCTCTCTTGCCATTGTGATAAGTGATGGTTTCACCTTCCTGGAATTTTGTAAGTCCAGCTGTGAAAAAATACGAGTTCAAATAATGTGCCTGGTGTCCACAGACTGTGAGGGGAAACATATCTTGCTTTGTAAGTTATGAATTAGGGAAAATAATTTTCTTAAAGTGATTCTCATAATCAATTATGCTGACCTCAGTAAGGAAAAGTCTTGTGTTTCATAAATGCAGCATGGGAAGGCAATATGGTGGAACTGAACAATTGGACAAAGAGCTTGTGCTCTTTACAGCTGCTTTAACTACCGGTACTCTACACCTGCTTTTATTAGTGGTGAATTGTAACTTTTATGTTTTTATATATTAAAATTTGGTTAGGGCCAGGTGTGGTGGTTCATGCCTGTAATCCCAGCACTTTAGAAGGCCGAGGGAGGCGGATCACCTGAGGTCAGGAGTTCTAGACCAGCCTGGCCAATGTGGTGAAACCGCATCTCTATTAAAAGAAAATACAAAAATGAGCTGGGCATCGTGGCACATGGCTGTAATCCTAGCTATTCAAGAGGCTGAGGCAGGAGAATCGCTTGAACCCAGGAGGGGGAGGTTGCAATGAGCTGAGATCATGCCACTGCACTCCAGCCTGGGGGACAGAGCAAGACTCCATCTCAAAAAAAAAAAAAATTTTTTTTTTTGGTTAGTATCACTTTTCCTGCTTGTCAAACAGTATTACTGCATAGAATCACTAAGGAAATATATATTGAATGTTTGAAACTATTAAATGCTGTACAAACTAAAGACTATTATTAGTGTTATAATAAGGAAGAAGGAAGAGGATGGCAGTTTATGGCTTTCTGCCTGAAGTACCCAAATTTGTGTCTCAATTTCAGGGTACACATTTTATAGTTAACTTTGCCACCTGTAACTGAAACATTTACAGTGGGAATTGGACAAGAATAACCAGACAACTTGAGCTAAGACTTTTTGTTTTTTTGAGACAGAGTCTTGCTCTGTCATCCAGACAGTGCAGTGGTTTGATATCAGCTCACTGCAACCTCCACCTCTCGGCTTCATGCGATTATCCTGCCTCAGCCTCCTGAGTAGCTGGGACTGCAGATGTGCACCACCACACCCAGCTAATTTTTGTATTTTTAATAAAGATGGGTTTCACCATGTTGGCCAGGCTGTCTTCCAACTCCTGACCTCAAGTGATTTGCTTGCCTCAGCCTCTCCAAGTGTTGGGATTACAAGCATGAGCCACTGCTCTTGGCAGAACTAAATCATTTTAAGTGTTAAATATAGAAAATCTTTTCTAGATAGACATGGTCTTGTTCATAGACTTGACTAAATATTGATAGAAGTAAACAGTTAACATGGCTTTTAGTAAGCATTACACAAGGCAGCAGTTGCTAATTGGTTTGAATTCTCTCAGATGGGCTTCCATGGTGGCTGATGCCTATGTAAGGCCTCTTTTCTTCTTTTGGATGGAAAATACTTGTTCAGCTACAAAAACTATTGCTAATTGTATGCAAGACACCTTGATATATGTGTTTGTATATATTATCTCATTTAATTCCCACCATAACCTTGAGAAGTTGATGCCATTATTCTATTTCACAAGTAAATTTTGAGTAAGACACAGTTGAATCTGATTTAACTCAACTACTGGAACTGCTTTTAGTTTGTTCCCTCTCTTTCCTCATTTTTCCTCCCCCTTTTTCTTCTCTTTTTCTTTCCTCTTCCTCCCTTGGCTATTCATCATTTAATCTGTCACACACATTATATTCTAACTAGAAACTAAAGAGAAAACAGAAAGGAAAGAGAGTGCACAATGACAATCTAGAATTTTTTTTTTAAGAAATTACATATTTAATAAATAGACTAAAGTTGTTCTGTAACTATGCAACTTGTTTTGCTCGATATTTGGCATTTGAGTTTAAATGGACAAAACGCTTGCAAAGAGTTTGAAGTCAGATTTGCATTACCTGACATGAGGGTTAGGCTTATCTGCAGCAGGGTGTTTATCTGCTTTCCCAGTCCTGCATTAATGACAAAACAGAAAGTGAGCTTTAACTAGGCAGTTGTCAACATGTAGCCGATAGACTAAGTCTTCTCTCTTATCTGTCATTAGCTGTGGATAGGTTGTGGTGATCTTTGAAAGCATTCTTATCTTAATGACTGATAAAATATACAGTAAGTATGAATTCTGTGTCTGGGTACCAAAAGAGCAAAAACAAATAAGACAAGGCCCCAGGGATTTTACCATTCAGTGTTGGAGAAAGATTTTAACAAATTTTTCCAACCCAACAGAATATTTACAAAATGGTATTATCGCATGTGAAAGAGGCTTATAAAGAATTACTGAAAATACAGAGCTATGTGAAAAGCATATGCACTAGTTAGGATTCCTTTGGTTGCAAGTAATAGAAATCCACTGGGAAACTGGCTATGTAATTTGCAGAATCCAGAGAAAAACGCAAGCATAGGCTCCTTGTTCAAAAAGCAGGAAAAACTTGCTAATTAGATACTAAAATACAAAGCTTCAAATTTTTCCCATGATCTCTCTCTTCTCCTGTCGTGAAGTTTTGGATTTGCTATTTAATATTGCTCCCTTAGCCTTGGGAATATTTTTGGGGTGAATGCTGGCCCTATAGGAGCTTCAGGCCCATCTTGCCACTTGGTATACTTATGTGGCCCACTCACTTTGGGGTTTCTCACTCCCTGACCCGTGCACCATGATTGGGTCTAGGACAAGGAAGTAGAGTCAAGTATCTTTCCTTCTCTCAAGAAATCATCTAACCAACTTTAATGTTGACTGCTTTTCAAAGAAAATCGCTACAATAAAATTCAGTTCACCATAGAAACTCCAGGAATAGAGATGAAATCTTTATTTTAAGGCTCTTTAGAATCCTGTAGTGCT